AAAAAGTCAATATATTAGGAAAAACAGAAGCAAGGGAAACACACTAGATTTGAAGTGTATAAAGAGATAAAATCAAATCTAATACGTGAACTTTGATGGCTTCCTAGAAAAATTTGACTCTAGAGTTAATCTCACATGGAATTAGAGAATTATTGTTAATTTGCATAGTCAAGATAATGTTATGTAATTATATAAGACAATGTCTTTTCTGTAGGAGATACATGCTTAAATATTTAAGGTGACATGTCATGATGCCTGGAATTTAATGTGAAAATGTTTATCCTCTCAATATGTGTAGATGTATATTTAAATACATGTATATATAGACATACCAAAATGGGGAAATGTTTGCATTCTTGATGATTAATTATTATAGTATTACTCCAATATTTTTGCATGTTTGAAATGTTTCTAATAAAAATTGGGTTTTCTTCTAAAAAGATTCACCCAGATACCTAAAAAAAAAAATAAAAATAAAAAAAATAAAGAACAACTGAGAAAGTCTTGATGGAACAAGGTGGAAAGGGGGGGGGCAGAAAAAATACTCCCAGGGTGTGAGAAGGAGGAGGGAGTGGCAGGGTAAGGTTGGAGACCGGTCCTAACCTTTGTTTTGTCTCTGGACACACAGATCCTGGTCTGGCACATTCGAATAGAAAAAAACAGTGTTAATGAATGAGGGGAAGAAGGGCTTCACTGACCCCTCAGTGGAGATCTGAGCCTCAGGATGGGGGTAGGAAAGAGACCAGGGAGGGCTTGCAATGGTCTTTTAAATGGTCTCCTTACTTTCAACCTTGAGACCTCAACTCCACAGTCTATTCTCCATATTGAAACCAGAGAGATCCTTTTAAAACATTTATTCATTCTAAGATTATTTACTGAAATTCATCTACATGTGAAGTACTATTATAAGTGCTTAGAATACTTCCAAATGAAGAGATAAAAATGTCTATCCTCATAAAGTTTATGAATCCTGGAAGGGGACAGGCAATAAACCAAAAATATAATAAATAAATTATAAAATTGGTCCCTAATGCTACAGAAAAATACAAAGCCAGATAAGAGGAAGCAGTATCAGGAAAAAAAAAGGACTTTTAGATTCAAATAGGGAGAGAAGTCCAGAGAACACTGGCAAAGTAAATTTTGAGCAAAAACTTGAAGGAGGTAAGATATCAGCCTAGCAGATATCTGGGGGAAGAACATTCCAGGTAGAAAAGATATTAATGCTAAGTCTCTCACATAATATTAGTTTTTGTTCCTTAGACCTTTAACTGACCATATGATGGGCTGAAAGAGACAAGATTTTTAAACTTGTTTTTGTCTAATTATTGCATATATTTTATCTTGAATATTTTCCTAATAAGGTACAAATGCCTTTTAAGAAATAATAAATTGGGCTGGGGGTATAGTTCAATGGTAGAGCACTTGCCTAGAATGCACAGGCCCCATTGAGGCCCAGCACTACACACACACAAGAAAATCAGTACACACAGAAATGAAGTATTAAAAACTACTCATACAATCAAACTTCACCTTTTTCTAAAATTCATTTAGGATTTTCAACTTTCATTTCACTGAGTTTCTTTTATGGCCCATAAAAAACAGAAAGGTTTGTATTTTTTTTAACGTACATATGACATATATGATAGGAAAAAAATAAGTCTATCCAACACGAGAGGTCACCCAGATTTAGCTTGCTTAGAATACAAACATTTTTCAAACATAAATACAGACTGATTTTTCAGATTAAGCCAATTATAAAACTAATGATAAGTACTGTCATCAAATTTATTAACAAAATAAAATTAGTACAAAATTATGGATTTTTAAAAGCTTGTTAGTTTCTACATAATTGGATGAGACTAGCATATTTTTTTTTTTTTTTTTTTACCTTCCGGTGGTCTGTTAGATGTTGCCACAACGACGACCCCATTTTTGAACAGATTTTCAAAAAGCTGTTTCAAAATCATGGCATCAGCAATGTCAGTGACCTATGGACAACAACACATTTGTTTTATTTTAATTTCACTTCTGCTCTAACAAATTTGCTAATGGTTCATTTTTTTAAGATGGAAGTGAATTCCAAGAAAAAAATTCTAATTATCATCGTGAGGAAAAAAGTAGATAATTAAAAGCATGAAAGATTATATAACAGTCTTTTAAACTTGACTCTTCCTTCTTTGCAAGCCTATCATTTCAACACAAATTATCAAATGGTTCTATGTTAACTTCTTTTATAGAACTACAGGTGGAAAGCATGGATAATTGTCCTTAAACATTTAGGAAGTCTATTTAATTAGAATACGACCAACACCCCCCTCCTGCTGCCACTCACCCTACCCCCCAAAAAAGGAGAGAAAGAGTGAAAAAAGAGAAAAATAATAATAAAATGCCCAGGCTGTGATTTCTAATACCTTTCTGGCAAAGGTCCCTGGAAAGGTGACTTTAAATGGTCATGGGACTTTAGAAATAAGGACAAGTAGCCAGTGAGACATAATCAGCTGCTGTTGAAAATAGAATGATATGACATAGATACTATTGTGCAATTGTTGCACAAAACAATTCAACAGATGGCCCATCACAAAAATAAGCAATTTCATTGTTCTTTTTAAGTGCCTTCTATTACTGTCCATGAATAATCAAAAGGCACTGCAGTCACTTCCAGCACAGCCAGCCTCTGCTAACCTTCGCAAACACAAATATTCCTTCTACCAAAAAAAGCCCTTTCAAGAACGGTTAATACAGTGCTTTAAAAATATGACTCCTGACAAAACTAGAAATGTATAAAGCAGATAAAACTCTCCTATCTAAGCTAGGTTGCAAAGAAATATAACTATTGTTTTTTTCTAAAATTATTTTTTAAATTCATAATTAAAAAGTTAGCTTAATGATAACTTTTTTAAACGGCTTTTAAAATTCACAGACATATAACAATTAAAAAGGAAAGATGAATTTAAAAACAAATGTATAATGAAGGCAGATATTAATCACTGCAACTTCCCCTACGTATATAACTTGTGTTTTAGATCCTCAGTGTAAAAATGTTTTGATCTTTCTTTAATAGCACATTATTATTCAATAGTCTCAATAAAACTTGCTTTATATATACTCACTAAATATATTACAATACTATTTTAAAACCCTGTTAGGGGACATAGAAGCTAGTGGAATTCTTTCAATTTGATCAACTAAATACTAAAAGTTACCAACTAAACAGTTGTAACACAACTAGTATCATCCTGGGTTGCACAGGTCTACATTACTTTTCTCCTTATTGTTGATAACTTATTCAAAAGTTTAGTAATTTCTTTCCCACCTGAACTAAACCAAACAAAACCATGACTGTGAGATGTACAAAAAATTTTTTCTGGGGCTGGGGCTCAGCAGTAGCGCACTTGCCTGGCATACGTGAGGGACTGGGTTCAATTCTCAGCACCGCATATAAATAAATAAAATAAAGGTCTATCAACAACTAAAAAAAATATTTTAAAAAATTCTGTCTCAGGCTATATAGTGAAAACATATTACTAAAATATTGAAGAGTCCTTAAATTTAAAAGACTTCAGGAACTTCAAAAAAGTGATTTAAACAAAAAGGAAAATGGGACTGATATTATTTAATTTGGAGCTTAGGATCATTGTCAAATTTTGCTCCCGCAAAAACACAGAGAAGGTTCTTTTCAAATGCTTAAACACYAGTGGCATTGCTGATGAGAGGAGAGAACAGGCTTGCAAATTTTAGTAGCAACTGCACTTTTAAAATTGGATTCCCAGTACATTCACTTAAAAAAAAAAATCAATTGACGGTTACTCAATTTTAGAGAATAAAAACAGTCATTTGACTACACCGCAGTTTTAGAAAAAAATCAAAAGGAGTCTTTGTGCCCCAAGATTCAGAAAAGTGAAAGGACATTTAGCTTATAACACAGAGCAAAGGTTTAAGCTGAAAATTGAAAAAAGCAAATAGTAAAAAGCTGTGATCAAGTTATACTTTGTTGTTTTTATACTGCTGGATGTCTTTGCCCTGTCTGAGTAAATAAACTTGGAGAAGCTATGACTAATTAATAAGGCAGGAGTCACTTGGTGTAGCTGAGTGCCAATGTATACTCTTTTGATCTTGTCGCCGCACTTGTTCAGCTTTGCTGGGGAACAGTAATTTTACAGTATAAGTGAACAGAAGACAATTGGCCCCACATTCTTGGAGAGCTGGCGTTTTCAGCACCCAGCATTTCATTACCACCAGGAACAAAAGAGAAGGCTACAGATTACCAATAAGGGTAGTCTGCTAATAGAGAGTGGAGACATTTCATTAGCATTAAAGAGAAGAGATTTTTTTATGACCTAGAGTTGCTTTCCATTATGACTCACTTAAGTAAAAAAGAAAAAAAAAAACTAATGCTTAATTTACATGTGTAAGTGCTTGAGTCTCAGTCATCCACTGATTGGTACAGTGCCATGTAATGAGTGACAAACATAAGCATGCATTATCAGTAATTAGTATTAGCACAAAAATAAGCACTATTTTTATTAGCAGTTTTTAATAGCTTTCCTGCTTTATAAAATAGTTAAAACTATTTTTTAAATGATATTGATAGCTTATAGAGGAGAATTTTGCATGTATTCTTCTCATCAGATTTTTTTTGGACCATATTAGTAAAACATCTATTCAGTTTTCCTAAAAAGAAACACAAAGACATAATTTAAAAAAAAAATCAGTTTCCCTCAATATTCTGATACCTTCAAAATTATAAATGGTTTAACAAGTAACATAAATATTCAAAGAGGACATAATAAAGATCCTAAAGAAAACTTTGAGCACAAGCTATTATTTTATTTCTGCAACTAAAACACATAAAAAACAACTCTGTAGACACATTTCTCAACTGAAGAATAGTGCATGTCATACCACAGGCAAAACTGAAACACCACACTTAGAAAAGACGATAAAGCTAATGAAGAATACATTCTGCAAATGTAATCCAAATGCAAACCAAAACATGATCTTAAAAATTCCTTAAATTAAAGAGCACAATAAAAGAATATATATCCTTGTTTTTAAGCTGCAGTAATTCTCATTCCTCTCCCTAGTAAAATAAGTATTATATTAATTAACTCACATAGGCTAATAATAATTGGCTAAAAATCAAGACCACTAATATGATTCCATTTTAAATGTAAAATGGTGATTATTGACATACTGTTGCCAAAAATAAAGCACCTAAAAAATCTTTTCTAATATATCAGCAAGTATTGTACTAGGTTTAATAGGCTTAAGGATAATTTTTAGGTTCTATCATTAGAAAATCTACCAAAATCCCACTCAGTCTATATATTTAAAGACATAATCTAAGATTTTTTAATACAAAGAAAAAATATAACTAATACTAGTAAGAGTACTAATGCTGGATTTAAACAATTGGTTACCAGCTATGTGACCATGGTCAAATTAACCTCTCGAACCCTCAATTTCATTTCCTCATCAAAATAATGAAAGCAATAATAATACCTACCTTACAAAATTGTAATCAGATACATATTAAACTTTCAAGAAATATTAACTATTACCTATTATCATTACCTATATAGTATGTATGCTGATATAATTTTATATTAATTATGTCCAGTTGTATAGAATGTTAGCTGTAATGAAATAACACATAGCACAGGACAGTAATTAGTAGGCACATAGAAAGCACTCACTAAACACTAGCTAATATTTAGAATACATTATTGAATATATATATATATATATATATATTATAGAATATGTATAGAATATACATAGAATAATAGGGGTTGGGTATAGGTCAGTAGTAGAGCATGTGCCTGGCATGCATGAGGTCCTGGGTTCAATCTCTCCAGCACAACACACATAAAAAAAAAAAAAATAGAAAAAATATACGTAATAGATGAAATGCACATTCCAATAAATAAATGGGAAATACCTCAAACAGTTCATGAAAGATTAATTTAACTAGTTATTAAATTACCTAAATGAATATAAATTAAAACAATGAATTATCATTTTTTATCTACTATGTTAGATAAAAATGTTCAGATAATTCAGAATGTTGACAGGAAAAATGTAGGTTAAATTTGTAGCATATCTTGGGTTCTGTAAATGCTGATTTTGCTTGATAAACACTATAATACGTAAGGGGAGTGGGACTTAATATTGATTAACTCACATAAGGCTATTACTTCAATAGTTATTATTTAGTCCTAGGATTCATTTATTAGAATCTATTCCTTCATTCACAGGTACTATTCTAGACACTTAAGATACATCAGTTAATACAATAAAGATCCATACATTCAAGTTTCTACTCTGTAGAAGAATACAGATAAACAATAAACATAATAAGCAAATTATGTGTTAGAAGGTGATAAGTGTCATGGGAGAAAAGGAGGGTAAGGAGCTTCAGAAGTGCAGAGGTGGGTAAAGGAGCTCTACCACTGCACTACATCCCCAGCCCTTTTTATATTTTATTTTGAGACATGGGTCTTGCTAAGTTGCTCAGGCTCACCTTGAACTTGGCGATCCTTCTGCCTCAGTCTCCTGAATACCTGGGATAAGGGCATGTACCACTGCACTTGGCACAAACTTCAATTTTAAATAGGGTTTTAGCATAAGCTTTATTATTCAGGTGGCTTGGCCTACATCTGTAATCCCAGTGGCTCAGGAGGCTGAGACAAAAGATTACAAATTCAAAGACAGCCTCAGCAATTTAACAAGGCCCTAAGCAATTTTTTTGGTGGAGGTATTGGAGATTAAACTCAGAGTCACTCAACCACTGAGCCACATCCCCAACCCCATTTTGTATTCTATTTAGAGACAGAATCTCACTGAGTTGCTTAGCGCCTTACTTTTGCTGAGACTGGCTTTCAACTCATGATCCTCCTGCTTCAGCCTCCTGAGCCACTGGGATTATAGGTGTGTGCCACTGTGCCTGGCTGGCCCTAAGCAATTTAATGAGACCCTATCTCTAAGTAAAATATAAAAAGAGTCAGGATATGGCTCAGTAGTTAAGCACTCCTGGGTTCAATCCCTGTACCAAAAAAGAAAAAAAAAATAGGCCTCATTAAGAAGGAGATAACTAAGCAAAGATGTGAAGAAGTGATGTAGCTATTCTTACCAGCTATGTGGGAATATAACAGGATAAAACAAAGGTTGCTGCTGGGCATTAGAATACCACACACAAACAGCTCAAGCCTGTGGCCAGAGGTTCACTGCAAGTATTTCTCCTGTCTAGAAAACTGGGCTAAGCTGAGCATGGGGTGGGACCTGTAGTCCCAGCTATGTGGGAGGTTGAGGAGAGAGGATTACTTGAGCCCAATAGTTCAGGACCAGCCTGGGCAGCATAGAAAGACTCCATATCTCCCCCCACCCCCCAAAAAAGAGTGGGTTTCCCAAACCCAACTCCTTGCTTTATAGACCATTCAGACTTTTGCCCTCAAACTTAAAAACAACCCCCATTTCACTCCCCTATATACTTCTAGTTACCATGTTCACTCTCACTTGCCCCTTCTTCCCCCACCTCTTGGTTCTTCATGGTACCCTCTCTGACCAGGATATAGAAGTAATGAATCTTTTAACTTATTTGCTATTGTTATGGCACACTGAATATGCACCTTGTACCCTGAAGAACCAGGAGTTACCCCAAGCTAGATTTTTCCCTGAAACAACAGGGAGAAGAACACAAGGTCAGGCTTCTAGCATCACAGCCATGGCCAGGCATACAAAATTCAAGTTTGGAATTATATAGGAGATTAAAAAAAAAAAAGCCAAGCTATCAGCATTTTTCATTCTAGGATATCAAGGTCAATCGTGCTCAAGGGAGGATCTCCCATGTGGTCAATTCTAACACACTAGAATGCTACACTAAAATTGGGGATTGAATAGAAGGAATCAATTTGTATTTAGTCTTGTTTTGTTATCTCTGCATACTTTGTCTCCAGCCCTTCTGGGAAAGAAGTATTTGATATAACATCCAACTATTAACTGTGGTTCCCACCTATGAAGAAAATAGGACTGGGAACAATAGGGAGCAATGAGTAGGGCTGAACATATGAAAGATAAGGTCAGAGAAAAAAATAGCATTTGAGCGAGAGAAATGACACTATCTAACATATTCCCCACTTAGAGTATAAGCCCTTTTGAGTATAAGCCCTTGCCCGTTCTGTTAACTTACAGCCGAAAACATGCCTCATCTTTGCTATTCTTAGGCTTAGTTCACAGGGATTCCCTATATTCTGTAAAAGGTAGCATAAACATTGGTAAGAAGTATGGTAAGGAAATGTCACCCTTATTAATATAAAATCTGTTGCATCAGAAATAGAGGGAGCTTTGCTGGGTGCAGTGGACACGCCTGTAATCCCAGCAGCTCAGGAGGCTGAGGTAGGAGGATTGTGAGTTCAAAGCCAACCTCAGCAAAAGCAAGGTACTAAGCAACTCAGTGAGACCCCTCTCTCTAAAGAGAATACAAAATAGGGCTGGGGATGTGGCTCAGTGGTTGAATGCCCCTGAATTCAATTCTGGTACAAAAAAAAAGGAAAAAGAAAGAAAGAAAAATATGGGGAGCTCTGCAGAGTCCGCAGTTGTCAAGGCAGCAATAGCCTCTTTCCCTTAAGATCTGACTTGGGCTTTAGTTCTCCTGATGCAACAGATTTTATATTAAGGAAGATGACATTTCCTCACAATACTTCTTACCAATGTTTATACTATCTTTTACAGATCAGAGGGAAATCCCTGTGACATAGAAATAGGAGCAAAATACAAGTGAAGAATTCAGTTCTCATCAAAATTCTGTTTGCAAGAAATAGGCACATGAGAACCAGCTAAAGGCCTAAGAGGCTCCCAGGTGGGGACAGCACTAATGGCACCTCATGGGAACTAGAGCAGAGGACAGGGTTAGGATTGGAGATGCTCTGGAGAGCTCTACAGCTGTCCAGGCAGCACTAGTCTCCTTCCCTTAATGTGATTCAGTTTCTTTCTATGTCTCTTTGTTCCTGTCTCATTACTAAACAGGAACTTCCCTATGTGCCAATTAGCTCAAATTTATGAAAAAGAAGATATAACTGGACCATTCCCCAGGCCACACCACAGAAGTCCAAGGTTGCTGACAAGCTTATGGACAAGCTATGAATAGATCAATGTCCAGGCCTAGTCCATTTAGCTATGGGACAGACAGAGTCTGGTGATATGGAATAAGGTTCTTTAAGGTAACCTGGATGAAAGAGTAAACAAGTGAAAGAATATCAAGCCAAGTCTGGATGGCATAGGCAAAACAGACACCTCCATCACCTCTGCTTTCTCTCTGCTAGCAAGCAACGTTTTAAGGGCCTGTCTCCCATGGATCTCCCTCATACTTAATATGTAATTGAAAAACCCTTTATCTTCCCTGTACTTCTATGGAAAACTGGGCCCATTTGGAACATTAATATCCTGATAGTTACTTTTGATTCCTTTGTCCCAGAAACAAATCACCCTTTTGAAATCTGAACGCACTGGAGAACACTCAGGGCAAGGGTAAGTTTTTGTTAGGACTTCATTATCAGGGGGCATTATGACTTTAGGGAAACGCTAGGAACTTTTACCTTCATGAGCTCCTTCCTCAATAAAAATATAAGTGTATATATAATTTATATTAGTATAAAAACAAATAGAATACAGATATAGACACACAAAGCCTGGCTCATTACTGCATATTCACTTATTTCTTCAAATTTTAAAAGAAATCAAATCAACTTTCATTAGTTCCTAAAAGAATCATGGTACCTAATGGGTAAAGTGGCCCTGATTGTTCTCTATCTTCTTCAGGATCATAGGCTTTTGCATATCCAAAGTTTCATAGTTCCCTAACTCCTTAGTCTTGCCTTTCAAAGTCCTTCATGCCATAGAAACATGCAAATCATTTCTCTGAATATTTTGAAATTCTCATGGTTATAGTTAAAGTTAATGATGTTTTCATGAGACCTAGGAAATTCCAGTGCCTTTAGATTCCTCACCTCTATGTAGGGAAAATAATAACTAGTTTATAGAATTCAGTGAAATAAAAATGCAGAAACACATTTAAAACCATGAATCATTTTAGTAAAATTGGGTATATTTTTTTGTTGGTACCAGGGATTGAACCCAGAGGCACTCTACTACTGAGCCACATCCCCAACACTTTTTATTCTTTATTTAGAGACAGGGTTTTTACATTGCTGAGACTGGCTTTGAACTTGAGATCCTCCTACTTCAGCCTCCAGAGCCGCTAGGATTACAGGCATGTGCCATCAAATCAGGCTCAAAATACTTTTTAAATAAATTAATTTAAAATTAAAAATTAGGGTTTTAGGATGTAGCTCAGTGGTAGAGCAGCACTTCCCTAGCATGCATGAGGCCCTGGAATCAATCCCTAGAACTGCAAAAAAAAAAAAAAAAAAAAAAGGTAGATGTGCACGTACAGGTAGAGAGAGAAAGGAAGAGAGAAGGTGGGAGAGGGAGTGGGGTGGGATAAGAATGAATTTTTTCTCATGGGCTACAGTGAAGCAGATGCCACAGAGAAGCAAGTGAAGCAAATAAGTCAGACTTGTCCTCTGTGGGCCATGGTGTGCCAACCCCCAAATAAGGCAGAAAAGAGAATATGTACCATTCTCCATTTATGAAAAATTTCTACTTTACCTGAAATTCATCAAAGCACAAGAGACAGGCTTCATGACTGATTTCTTCAGCTATGGGAGCGATTGGGTCATACGATTTAGTCATGAATCCTGGTTTCCTTTTTGGCAAATTCTGTTTAAGGCGGTGTATTCCTTAAATGGATAAAATAAAATACAGACCAAATATTACATTAATAGTACACTGTGAACAATTATCACATTTTTAAATCACTAGATAAAACTATTTGGGAGGTACCGAGGATTTCATTTAGGGGCACTTGGCCACTGAGCCACATCCCTAGCTCTATTTTGTGTTTTACATAGAGACAGGGTCTCACTAAGTTGCTTAGAGCCTTGCTGTTGCTGAGGCCACTGGGATTATAGGTGTGCACCACCGTGCCTGGCTATGAAACTTTAATGTGGAGTAAATTAAATTTAAAAAACATAAATCAATTTTTTTTTTGGTGGTACTAGGGACACTTTATGACTAAGCTAAATTCCCTGCACTTTTCATTTTTTATTTTGAGACAGGATTTTCCTAAATTGCCCAGGCTAGCCTCCAACTTACAGTCCCCTCTTGCCTCAGCCTTCCAAGTCACTGGGATTATAGACATGCACCACCATGTCTGGCAGATCAAATTTGATTATTAAGATTGGTTGCACTGGGGCTTAGTTTGTGGCTCAGTGGTAGAGCGCTTGCCTAGGACATGTGAGGCACTGGGTTCAATCCTCAGCAACACATAAAAATAAATAAATAAATAAATAAATGTATTATGTCCATCTACAACTTATATATACATATATACATATTAATATATATTTTCTTTAAAAAAAAAAGATTGGTTGCATTTTCTCCACCCCAAAATAAATTGTTGAAAGATTATTATAGTCTTAAAGTAGTAAGAAAATTTCAAGGTCATTCCATCTCCATTCTTTAATCATTCAGAGATGACAAAATGATAAGTTACCAAATGGATCAACAAATTGATCTCAAGCCTGAGGATTTCAGTGATGGAGGCTGTGATCCTACCCAAGGAGTACAAGTTATATCTAGCAAATCTAATCAGAATGCTCCCTTGTCTCTGACCTAAGGCACTAACATGAGTCCCACTTCATTAATCGCACCATGCTAAGTGCTAAAAGAATTAGAGAGGGCTGGGGTTGTGGCTCAGCAGTAGAGCACTCGCCTAGCACATGTGAGGCCCTGGGTTCTAAAAATACAAACTGAATGACTCTTGCTGAGATAACACAGAGTAAAGGAACTCATCAAAATAGTAATAATAATAATAACTTCTTGAAACAGGTGTGTTGAAACATTTTTTTAATCAATGTTTAGTAGAAACAGAAAATGTCTGATCTTCATTTATTAACCTTTGTTCTCTAACTGGAAAATACTGAATTCACTTTAAGAACCAATTCCACTCAGGCTTAAAGAAGAATGAAATATGCCATTTGCCAGTAAATGGATGGAGCTGAAGAATAAGTATCATGCTCAGTGAAATAAGCCAATTCCAAAAAACCAAAGGCTAAATGTTTTCTCTGATATGCAGATGCTAATTCCAATAAGGAGGGGGCAGTTAGAGTAGAATAGAAGTACTTTGGATTAGTCAAAGAGGAATGAAGGGAAGGGAGAGAGGGAATGGGAGTAGGAAAGATAGTAGAATGAATCGCACATTACTATTCTACGTGCCTATATGATTACATGTCCAATGTAATTCTACTTGATGTACAACCAGAAGAATGAGAAGTTATACTCCATATATATATATATAATATGTCAAAATATAGTCTACTATCATGTATAACTAATTAGAAAAAAAATTTAAAAATTTTTTTAAAAAGCCAACTCCAGATTCAATACTGTTTCAATATAGCACACACACACAAAATGAAACCAAATAAAAGCTTGCTTCAGGCAAATATCTAATTTTTTAAGAGTGTTATTCATGTAAGAAAACTATTTTTAGAGTATGCCCACTGAAAAATCACTCGGCTTGACTTACTTTTGTGCACATCTAACATGAAACCATGAAAATGGACCCGTTTTTTCCTCTTCATTTCCACATAAGCATAAAATATGTCCATCACCATTGTTTTTCCTGTACCTTCAAAATAAAAAAAAAATCTTTTTAAAGAATATTATTAAAACAGTATGTGCTGATTGCTGTAATGATTGTTCATTAGGTTTGAGATAATGAAGCCACCCTCCTACTGGAAAGCTGAAGACTGTGTTACTTATATAGAGGGGGCTGTTCACTTTATATGTTAAACTAGCCAAGGGAAAAAAAAATGTAGATAATACTTTTTTCAATTATAATCTTGTTTTTAGGAAATATAACATTTAGTCAACACTTCAGGGGCAATTTTCCCTAGAGAACTATGTTCATAACCTGGCAAGATTAACAGATTAATCTTCAGTCTTCTCTTTCAAAAGACATTAGTACAAATAAGATAATTAATTAATTATTGTATTATTACTATGTATAAGGAACTTTTCCAGACACTGGGGGAAAATTCAGAAACAAAAAAAAAGAAAAATTAAGAGGAGAAAGGTGAAAAAGAAAGATCAGTACCCAACACAAATATTGAAAATAAATAACAGAGGTAGATTAGAGCTAAAGAACAGTCAATTACAATACTTCCCTTTTTAAAAAACTGGGAATTTCAAAATGAGGCCTACTTAAGAAATTCTGATAGTCAATCCTTATAATTAAATTATCTCATTTTCAACACTGAAACTTTTCATCACTACAATTGTATTAGAAATAGAATAGTCATCAGTCTGAGCACTTGTGAACACAAGCATGCACAAAAAGCCTTATTTTCTCACAGAAAACCCAGTGCTCTAGGGACAGTGGCAGTGTCCAAATTCATATTCTAGCACCCCTCAGAAGGCCAGGCCAAAATGTGCTAGCTCTATGTCTCATCCTCCCTGCTTCCTGTACCCCACAGAACCCAGGCTCTCCTATTAGGAGCTGCAATTTCCAAAAAATCAAAAACAGCTCAGGAAGGAAGAAGATCTGACTCTCATCCTTGGGTGTTTCCTCTGTTCCACAAGATGATTCTCAGCACATGTCATCTGAGTGCCAGAATATTTTTGTATATGAAAATACAATTCCCAAATGAATTTTTAGTGAAGAGGCCACTTAGATTGAAAAGTAATTTTTTACGAAAATATTCAATACAGAATCTCTTAATGGAAAAAGTGGCAGCAGATTTTTTTTTTTTTTTAGAGAGAATTTTTAATATTTATTTTTTAGTTCTCGGCGGACACAACATCTTTGTTGGTATGTGGTGCTGAGGATCGAACCCGGGCCGCACGCATGCCAGGCGAGCGCGCTACCGCTTGAGCCACATCCCCAGCCCGGCAGCAGATTTTTAATCATTACATTTACCAAGGAGTAATAACTTTCAAGTTCTGCTGCATTCAGCATAGTATACTTCTAGATCCAGAAAAATATGTATGAATTATCTAGCCAAAAGTGTGAATAATATATATATTTGAACTTAACATTTGTGCTTTTTTAAAAAATGGGCTTTATATACAATAAGGTCATTATGTAAAGTTTTTGGAGATAAAAGCAAAAGAAGAAATTAGAGGGAGCTGGGAATGTAGCTCAGTGATAGAACACATACTTAGCAAACAAAAGGCCCTGGGTTCAAACCTCAGAACCACCACCCACTCCCCAAAAAGGGGAAAAAGTCATAAAGGGAAAGATTGATTGACTAGGCTACATGAATTTTGACCTCTTGAATTTCAAAGGTCACCATAAGTAAAATTAGTGTCCTTTTATTCATTTAATCAATATACTTTTACTGAATGCCTAAAATGTGTAAGATACTGTTTTAAGTGCTTTATGATAGTGAACAAAATTAACAAAACATACCACTCTGTAGAACCTGAGATTTTAATATATATAAAGATGCAGATATCTTTATTTATATATGCCTTATTACATTCATATATTTAATATATATAATATATATGCATATATATATATGTGTGTGTGTATATATATATATATATACACACACACATATATATTATCTTATCTTAGAAACTACAATGGACATTATGTTCTTTTCTTGTCCCTTTTTTCCCCCTCTCCCTGTCTGTTCTAAATCGATTCTTTCTGAGACTGCCCCTTTGGTGAGAGTGTCAATCACAGGGTGGATCCACTGAAATACCCATCACCCTTTGCACTGTATGGCTGGCACAATTGTGGGCATGTGACTCTTTTAACTCAGCATTCTTTAGGGGATTAGTATGGATTCTGAGAATGAGAGTTGTTCTTCTTCCTTTCAAGAAAGCAATTTAGGGCTGTGGTTTGGCTCAGTGGTAGAGCACTTGCCTAGTACATGCGATGCCCTGGGTTTCTCAGCACCACATATTTWAAAAAAAAAAAAAAAAAAAAAAAAGGTCCATTGACAACTAAAACTTAAAAAGAAAAAAAGAAAGAAAACAATCTATAAAACACCAGAAGACATCTTTCCTACAACATCAAAATCATACCTATAATCTCAGGAGCTGGGGAAGCTGAGGCAGGAGGATCATGAATTCAAATTCAGCAAAAGTGAGGCGCTAATRAGCAACTCAGTGAGACCCTATCTCTAAATAAAATACAAAATAGGGCTGGGGATGTGGCTCAGTGGCTGAGTGCCCCTGAGTTCAATCCCCAGTACTGCCCCCGCAAAAAGAATATAACCAACACTAAGGGAAAGAAAGACAGAAAGAGAATGAAGAAAGGAAATGAATTTGAACAAATCAAAATGGCATATAAGTAACCCTCTAAAATCTAACACACATTAAAGAAGAAAACTAAATCCACATCCTCATCAAGTTAATATTTACAATATCAAGTATATAATAAAAAATGAGAAAAAGTAGAGTATTCTTTAGGCTGAAGAAAAAATGATACCAGACAGAAAGCAAGCACCACAAAGAAATGAAGAATGCAAGAAATGATAAATACATGGGTGATTATTTGTTTTTATCATTTTTACATTTCTTTAGACAGTAATTAGCTATTTAAATAACATTAACAATGTATTATGGATTTAGTAATCTACATAGAAGTATAGTCTATGATAATAGCATAAATATTATTTAATTGGTGAGAGAAATAAAAGAATACTGTTATAAAGCTCTAGATAGCATAACTTGGAGAAAGGATACAATATAATTAAAGTGCATATTTTAAACTTTACAGAAACCAACAAAAGAATCAAACAATAAAAATATGAATAATAAAGATATAAAAAACAAGCAAATCATGTAAGTAAAGCAGAATTTTTTTTTTAAATTTAAACAAAGAACAAAAAAGGTAGARAAAACATACAAATGGAAGAAGGTAGCCTTAAATTCTACCATGCTGATAAGTTCAAGTGGGCCAAATAATTCAATAAAAAGGCTAACATTGATGGGCAAAAAAAAAAAAAATTATATAATCTCTATAAGACACTCATACAGATAAGTTAAAAAGCTATAAAATGAAAAGAAATCCGGGCACAGTAGCACACACCTGTAATCCCAGCTAGGATCAAAAGTTCAAGGCCAGCCTGGGCAACTTAGCAAAACCCTCTCTGAAAAAATAAATAAATAAAAATAAAAAAGGTCTAAATAAATAAATAAATAATTTAAAAAATAAAAAGGTCTAGGGTTATAGCTAATGGTGGAATACCCTGGGTACCAAAATAAAATACAATAAATGCTCATATTAGCAAATAAGACTTTAAAATCAATCATTTAAGTTTCTACCTTAGGAAGTTAGAAAAGACAGCAAATAAATCCCAAAGTAGTATCACAGTTATTAGGGAGGCTGAGGCAGGAGGATCACAATTTTGAGGCCAGCCTGGCAACTAAGCAATCTCCTGTTTCAAAATGGAGTTAAGGATATAGCTCAGGCTTGCCTAGCTTGCTGGACTTGCATAAGGCCCTGGGTTTAATCCCAAATACAAGTAGAGAGAAGAAAAACAAAAAAGGAATAATAAAAAACAGAAATTGGTGGCTGGGGTGTGTCAGCAGGAAAGCACTAGCCTCCCACATATGACGCACTAGGTTTGAGCCTCAGCACCACATAAAAGTAAATAAACAAAATAAAGATACTGCATCCATGTACAACTAAAAAATATTTTTTAAAAAGCAGAAATCAATAATACTAAAAACAAAACAATAGAGAAATCAACGAAACCAAAACCTGATCTTTTGAAAACATCAAAAATAATTGGCAAAACCCTCGCTGAACTACCCAAGAAAAAAAGACCTGAAACACAAATTTAACAGTATCAAGAAAGAAAGACAGTATCGCTATAGTTCCTAAAGATGTTAAGCATAATAAGAAAGTATTATAAATAATTTTATGTCAATAAATTCAACTTAGATAAAGGAGTAAATTTCTTTTTTTTTTTTTTTTTTTTTAGAATTTTTAATATTTATTTTTTAGTTCTCGGCGGACACAACATTTTTGTTGGTATGTGGTGCTGAGGATCGAACCCGGGTCGCACGCATACCAGGCAGGAGTAAATTTCTTTAAAGACATAAAATGGCAAAACTGGAATAAAAGATAGAAAATCTAATTAACTTCACATTTATTAAAGCAATTAAATTTATGATTAATAATTTTATCACAAAAAAATACTCCAGACTCAAATGGCTTCACTAGTGAAAACTATCAAATATGTTAGAATTAAATAATGCCGATCTTACACAAACCTTCCAAAAATAGAGGAAGAAACACTTCCCCCCCCCGCCCCCCCGTTCATTTCATGAGACCAACAATACACAAAAAGGATAGTACACCATTATCAAATGAGATTTATATCAGAAATGTAAGAATGGCTTAACCTTAAGGGCTGGGGATGTGGCTCAAGTGGTAGCTCGCTCACCTGGCATGTGTGTGGCCTAGGTTCGATCCTCAGCACCACATACAAACAAAGATGTTGTGTCCGCCGAAAAATAAAAAATAAATATTAAAAAATTCTCTCTCTCTCTCTCTCTCTTAAAAAAATGACTTAACCTTAAAAATCAGTGTCATTCATCATATTAAGAGAATAAAGGAGAAAACCTTTCTGATGTTACCATCACAACATTTGAAAAATATTTAAC